CCATCCTCAGCTAGGGACTTACAGGTGTGAATGCCAGGCTGCCCACTGTTGCCACCCATGGCCACTGGGTTAGGAACCTGCCTGCAAGCTCACCACCTCCTGTGTGGCCCTCGGGTTTGTGCCCCAAGCTGGATTTGACATGGAGCCTGGCTGAGCAGCCAACAGAGATGGTCAGGCTGGGGGAGGGGCTCAAATTCTTTCATGCCTCTAAGATCACAAGTTATGATGAGAGGGAAGGGGGGTGGGGCCTGGGCAGCAAGACGGAGATTAGCTGCTGTGAGCCCTCTGGCTCCTTAGAATGTTTTTCTAAAGGAATCTTCCTTTGTACTGTTCTCACCCTCCCTCTCTGTCTCTCTCTCTCTCTCACACACACACACACACACACACTATTACACACAATCACATGCCCAGCTTTGGAACAATAAAACCCTATTACGCGGGTGTTAAGTTGAAATATGAATGAGTCGATATCTTTCTATAAACTTTTTCTAGATATAAATATTCTGTAAGCACAAGTTTTCTGAACACACGTTTTCTACACATGCACCTCAAGAGTCAATTAATGGGACAAAATGGTGGGAGGTCGCACCCTTCTTCTAAATCACTAGCTGTCTCATAGCACTGTGATATTTTCCTTCATTGCATTTAACACACTTTAAAATTAGATAGTTCTGTGTTTATTCTGTTTCTCCTATGTTAATTAGTCTCTGATCTCCTTAAGAGCAGTGATCAGATCTGTTTTGCTCATTATGGTATCCCCAGCATCCAGCATGATACCTGGCACCTAGTAGGTCCTCAATAAGTATTTGCTAAAGGAATTCTTGAATGAATGGCATGTATACACTACATTCATAGTGCCAGTCAACTGCCTGTTTGCTCAGAGCCGTCCGCTGCCCCTCCTCCCCTGCTCTGTATCAGAAAAGACTATATTTTCCAGGTTTCCTTGCTTTCTGACTACTAGGTAGATTTGGCCAATGGGAGGCACTGGTGGGAAGACTGGGGGAGGGGGAAGGGAAGACATCGGAGCATCCCCCCTGCCCCTCTTCTCCTTTCTGAAACGTCTCTGGCAGTGGTTGCATCTCCACTGTGGGTCCAGCTTCCACCAGGCACCCTTGGCGTCTGAGTCCCGATAATACTATCTTTTCTATCGTCCCTGCAGCGATAGGAGTGGTCCTGGCTTCATGTTGTTGCTCATATCCGGGTTCCCTCACTATCCTCTAGGCTTCCCAGCTCTTTTGTCACCAGTGTAATTCTCTATATTACATTTCTTCTGTTTTAAAGACTTGGAGTGGGTCTTATTTTCCTTGCTGGACCCTGAGTTCAAATGAAAAGTCTGAGTGGCAGAGGAAACACGATCTTCTAGAAAGGGGACTAAAATTGGTTTAAGAGCAAGACTTGGAGTCAGAATATTAAAGTTTAAATTCTGGTTCTACCTCCTCCCAGTTGTATTTCCTTGGGCAAATCACTTAAACTGGTGTTTCCCAACCTGTGTGCCACGGCGCCCCAGTACACCACAGTGAACTCACATGGGTATCTCAGGATATTTAAAAATCTGAAGACAGTAAACAGAGTGAAACTCAACATCTGTCAGACACCACATGAACTACTAGTACGGTAGTTCACACTTTCAACATAAGATTACACTACAATACTTTCAATGATTTCATATTTTTGTGAGGCTGGGTCTTTCACAGTCACAATAAAAAGCTAGTATTGTATGAAAATCAATGTGTAACAGAAAATGAGGGTAGTGGTGTCCAACTTGATTCCAAGGCATGAGAAACTGTGCAGTGTCCAGCAGGTGCATATGACCCCATTAGTAAGTAATTGTGATTAAGAATGAAATAAAAATAAGTGTCTTCTTTCAATTTATGTGTATTATATTTTTCAAACAGCTAATAAGCTATTAGGACATAAATACTTAAGTTGTTGGGACCTAATATTTATAAATGGGATGGTTAGATATTTCTTTTGGCCTGGGGCACCATGAAAAAATTACTGAGAAACTAGGGGAGATATAAACTAAGAAGGTTTAGGACCATCTGAGCCTCGTGTTCTCCTCTGTAAAATTGGGAAGCCTCCCTGCCTTCCCCTTGTGATTGTGGAAGAGGAACTGAGATACTGTACGTAATGGATGTTATTGGCTACCTACCCAACATCCAATCTCCACTCCCCCCACCCTGATGGAACCTGGATTAGATTCCGGAATTGACCCCTCCCTCATACAAACATGGGCTTCCAGGAAGCTGAGTCCAGGGGAGCTTTATCTAAGGATAATCCCACCTTCTCTGCCAAAGACTGGTGTAGGAATAGCTTGTGACTTATCTCTGTTGAAGAAGACACAAGACAAGGCTTGCTGAGGATTGCTGAGACCGTCTCCTCTTCTGGATGTTGCTGTGTGCGGATATGAGGTCCAAAACTTGCTCTCAGGCTAAGGATAAAGCAAACAAATGGAGGATGGCAAGTTGGCAGAGGCAGAAGAATGCATGGAAACAGGGTCTGAGTGACTAGATTCAGGCAACTCTAAAACTCAACATCCTTCTGGACTCTAGGTATATGAGCCCAAACATTTCCTTCTTGTTTTGGATATTGTTACTTGCAGTTGAAGGCATCCTAATTTGATATACGTAAAAGTATTTTGCAAATTATACAGTGCAATGTAATTGGGACTGAAGCCTAGAATGTGCTTAGAGGGATGATGTGAAGTCAGAGATAAGAGGCCTGGATGCAATCAGTCACCTTGTTCCATGTGACTTGTTTTAGTTATCACCATACAGTTTGCAGCATCTCATCACTTCTTACACTGTAGGATCAAAAGAGTGTAAATGAATGTGTAGTGAACTATGCACTCAAGAACTTTGTATTCCTTTCACTAGAATGGACCATCTTCAACCGCCTGCTTCCCTTCCATCCTCCTTAAAGCTTCCTGTTTTCTCCTTACCTGCCCCTTGCCTATTTCTAAATCTACAGTTGATCAAAGGATAACTAAAAGAAGAGGAAACGCAGCCTTTTCTGCACAGGGTCTTAGTCTTAGACTCTTCAGAAGAAAAGTATGGGTCACTAACAAAAGCTAGTAGCCTTATTTACATACATTTACTCTTTGAAAGTTCACACCCTACAAAAACCAATTTTTCATTCAAATATTTTGTATAAAGTCAATTAATCACAGAAATCAATATTCTAAGCTATCCCATCTGTTGATTTACAGATTTTTGCCAACTCGCTTTTATCCTTTCCCTCACGATCCATTCAACAGACATTTTTTTGAGCACCTACTATGACAGTAACAAAGGGAAAAAGCCTTGGTTCATATCCATTAAGACAATGCTATTCAAAGGGTGGTCTTCGAACCAGCATTATAATCACCTGGAAGCTTGGTAGACATGTAAATTCATGGGTCTCACCCTAGACTCACTGCATTAGAATCTGTACAGGTGGGCCTAGGAATCTGTTTTAACAGTATCTCCAGATGATTCTTTTGCACTCTGGAGTAACTACTCTAGGAGCTTATGGCCTGGTGAAGAGTTATGTAAACTGCACTAAAAGCAATTGCTATCCTTGGAGATACGTACAAAGTGCAATGGGAACATAGGATGGACCCCAAAGAATAGGAGCTAACAATTACTGAGCACCTAGGATATTCCAGGCACATCACAGGCACTGTCTTAGACATCAAATGATAGAGTGAGATTTGAACCCAAGGCCTTTCTGACTCCAAAATTCATAATCACTGTGCGAAACTGCCCTAGGGCTGAGAAACATGGGATATTTCACAAAGAAGGCTCAAAGACAATTTGAGCCAACTCTTGGTTTCCTAGATCAACAAGCTGTAGCATAAGGTGTCGCAAGTTTTGTTAGTCCTGAAAAATGTTGCAGCATATGGAAAGGAATGGAAGCAAGAGAGACCATAGGATATTTAGAAACTTCAGGCAGTCCAATATAAAGTGCTGGGAGCAGGTGGGTAGGGATGGGATTGGACAGCAAGGTAGAAGTCTTACTATAAATAAATAGCTCATATGCTATGTAAATGAATTTATATTTTATTATATAGGAAAAAAGAGGACCACTGAAGAATTTTACAGGACTGAAAAGACTGGTTTGGTATCAAAAAGATTACCAGTAGAGTAACACAATGCAAAAAACAATGAAGGCAGTGATACTAGAGGTCAAAAAGTCAGGTAGGGAAGCTGAATACTAGTCCAGGGAAGAGGTAACAGGGTCCTGAATGAAAGCTGCAATGAGAGATGGGCAAAGGGATGGATGCGGGAGCTATTCACTCGTTTAATAAATATTCACAAAGTTTCCACTATGGGCCAGGCACGATTCTAGGAACTGAAGATTTAGCAATGAATAAAACCTACAAAGTTTCATAAAGCTTCCATTCTAGTATGCATTAGTTAAGAGGGAGTGAGGGCTGGGGTCAATCAATGTAATGTCAGCAGTGATACATAGTGTGAAGAAAAACAGAACAGGTGAGGGGAGAGTGAGTGATGAGGTGGCTACTTTAGACAGGGGTCAGGAAAAGACTCTCCGTAAGGTGACATTTGGGCAGCGGCCTAAATGAAGTGAGGGGTAAGCTGTGGGCCTACTAGAAGCTGAGAAAGACATGATGGCAGTGGAAGCCAGAGACTGGTAAGAGGAGGAAGAGCCTAGTAGGACTTTCAAAAGGATGACGCTACAATTTACTGAAAAAGAGACACGTCTGGGTGATGCTAACAGGCAGCTACACAGAGGAGTCAGGCTCCAGTAAAGCAGTCTATAGAGAGAGGGGTGGGAGTCATCTGAAAGAAACCTCAAGAACATTTTCTACAATTCCAATTCAAAGACAATTCAAAGGTCTTTGATTTCCTTATCAAAGTAAGAGGATCAGAATTTTCTATCTAAGGACATTCACCTTGCTAAACATTAGAGCCAAAAATATTTCAGTGAGTCTCAAAAAGCTATTTAATTGCTATTCAAAGGACTTTCTTGAAAGCTTTTCACAAACTTAAAAGCATGAGTAAAGTTTAGGGGGAAAAAGCTTTATTTAATAAAAAGCATATTAATTCATTTAAAGTATATTATAAACATTTAAATATTTTAATATCAATAAACATAATCTATCAAGCAAACTGGAAGGCAGAAAAATTGCCATAAATTAGTATAGTAAACTAAAAACATTCCAAAATCAAAAACCATGATTACATTTTCACAATTCAATCATTACTGTATAATCAGAGTCCTTAGAATAGTTGGACTGAACCACTGTGATCCTGCTCTTGCACGTGTCCATGCCTATAATTTTGTGTATTATTCCATACTATAAATGCAGTATTCAAATACACGTGAGCCGCGGGGCTGGGAACTTAGAGATTAGCTCTTGGTTTATTACTTTCGATAATTTTATCTGAGTTAAGCTGATCGATTTCTTCCTGGCTGAACCCAAATTCTTTAAGTATCTCTTCAGTGTGTTCTCCTACAAAAGGATGCCTTTTGGAAGAAGGGATAGCTGGAGTGCTCGACAGCAGAGGCGCAGGGCGAGGACTCACGACCTGCTTCTCATCAGTGAAAAATGAGCCTCGGTCTTTGTTATGACCATGACGGACAGCCTCTTCAAAAGACAGAACCGGAGTCACGCACGCATCTGTGCCGTCGAAGATCTGACACCACTCTGCCTTTGTCTTCTTTGCAAATGCATCTGCAAATTTCTTCTTCATTTCTGGCCAATCAGTTATGCTCATCTGATTGGGAAGTTCATCAGACTTTAGCCCAAGTCCTGAGAGAAAAACATAGTTTCTTAAAATTATTATGCTTTGTAGGGAGTAATTATAAACAATGAAGATGATTTTGGAGCTCACCACACTGCCCAAAATAGGATGGTCTACAAAGGTTTCTCAAATGGGTCAAGAGAAGAAATTCAAACTCAGCTTGAAGTTGGAGCTGGTGGCTGGAGAGGGCAGAGGTAGCTGGGGTAGCAGGACTCAAAACAGACTCTCCACTGCCAAGATCTTATTATTTACATTGGATCAAAAGTACTCTATTTTTAATGGTCTAGTTTCCAGAAACTGATTTCTCCCCTCTGAGTAGGTTTGCAATAAGAAATTTCCTCATGATGTTATCATCTGTCATGTTGAATTAAAATAACCCCATATTTTATATAATGCTCCCAAACTCTATGAAAGATAATTAAATTATACCCCAAGGGCCACTTGACTGGGGTTTGGTATAAATGTCATTTTCATTTCCTCATATAAGAGGTTTTCTAAATATTTTAAATTATACATAACATTTTGTGTAAGTTTAGCCAAGTTAACCAAATAATTTTCACTTTTATCATCCTTTCTTTCCCTACTACACTGAAGAACAATGACTAATTGTAAGCTTCTCTGAAGATGCAGAAGTCCCTAAAGAGGTAAGAAGACATGAATACTGCAGGCTCCCCTTAGGGTTTTGAGGGATATGAGTAAATAAGGAAAATTCACAGAGGTCTGGATTGTTGTGAAAAGACACCTGTGGGATTCATAAGTAAATTTTTCTCTATAGCCACTTGTCCCATTCAAATACCAGAAAAGATACGGGGCCATAGTTTCGGGTTCATCACTGTAATCTACAAAAAAATGGTTCTAAGGATATCTTTCACTTTGCTTTCTCTTTCCTGATTGCCCCAAACTCTGTGATTAAAAAACACATAAAAAGAACAGTTAGCCAAAGTAGTGATGTAGATCGTAGCTACTGTTGGAAACATCTTTGCATCCTTTTGAAACAGTTTTTTTTTTTAATCAGAAAGTGATCAGAATCATAACACTAAATAAAATTAGAGACAATATGTCCTCTCTGTAACAAATATTATACTTGAAATTACACAGGTCATAGTTTGTATAGTGGAAAAATACTAGAAATCAAAAGACCCCAAGTTCTACTTCTAACTCGGACACCAGCTCTTCATTGTCCTAGCATCCTTTCTCAGCCCACAATTTCCCATCCCGCCCAAGACCCTGATCAAGGCCACAGGATGAACTACCAGTAGTTTAGGGTGGTCTGTTTCCTGTGCTCTTGACACTCCTATATGGAACTCTGAATCCATTCCCCCACAGAAATGCAATTAGAGATTGTGGCTAGTTTTTTTTCTTCTTCTTCTTTTTTTTTTTTTTTTGTAGCTAGTTTTTATAGTATAATCTATACTAAATTTGTGGTATTGTAAGTCAAACACTTTCAGGGACTGGTCTGGCGACTCAGACACCATTTAAAACTTGGGAAAGTATGTTTTGATTTCCAAAAAACTACCTTACACATACATGTACACATATTCAAACACACACGCAAAACATTATTGTTTTAAGTGCACATAATAAACTTTACTGCTCTATAACACAATATTAGGAACATATTAAGCACTCAAAACTTCATATCTAAGTATGCAATGATATATGTACAAAGATTAATGTTTACTAATAAACTAATAAACATTGTTATAATGAAAAACTGGAAAAAATGTAAATGAACTTGAATAAAGACATGGTTATGGGCCGGCCCCGTGGCTTAGCGGTTGAGTGCGCGAGCTCCGCTGCCGGCGGCCTGGGTTCAGATCCCGGGCGCACACCGACGCACCACTTCTCCGGCCATGCTGAGGCCGAGTCCCACATACAGCAACTAGAAGGATGTGCAACTATGACATACAGCTATCTACTGGGGCTTTGGGGGAAAAATAAATAAATAAAATTAAAAAAAAAAAAAGACATGGTTAAGTAAATTTTAGTACAGCCATACCAATATCATATGGCTGCAATAAAAAAAGGTGAGGGCGAAGATTTTTATTGACAAGAAAGAATGTCTTTGTTATATTGTTGGATAAAAAGAGATAGCTATTAATTATAAATGTATATAATTGTACATATAAATTATAAATTGTAACAAATAAAATATTTGTGTTCATATGTATATAGAGAAAGTTCTGGAAGGCCACATCCCAAGTCTTCCCAAAGTGGAAGGACAAGGGAGAATTTTTAACTTCTTATTTTACAAATTCTGTAATGTTTAAACTTTTCTGAATTTTTTTTTTCATCTTTTAAAATTGTACTAGAATCTACATAAAATTTACCATTTTAGCTACTTTTAAGTGCACAGTATTGTGGCATTAAGTACATTTACAGTTGTCCCTCGGTATCCATGGGGGATTGGGTCCAGGACCCCCCATGGATACTAAAATCTGAGAATGCTCACATCCTTTATATAAAATGGCATAGTATTTGCATATAACCTACATATATCTTCCCATATACTTTAGATCATCTCTAAATTACTTATAACACCTAATATAAACAAAATGCTATATACTTGTTATATACTGTATTTTTCAGGGAATAATGACAAGGAAAAAAAGTCTCTCCAATACATGTTCAGTATAAATGCAACCACTGTAGACCTTTCGATCCGTGAATCTGGAAGGCTGACTGTATATTGTTCTGGAACCATTACCACCACCTTTCTCCAGAACTTTTCCGCTTCCCAAACTGAAACTCTGTACCCATGAAACACTATCTCCATATTTTCCCCTCCCCCAGCCCCTGGCAACGACCATTCTACTTTCTGTCTCTATGAATTTGACTAGTCTAGGTATCTCAAATAAGTGGAATCATACAATATTTGTCCTTTTGTGACTGGTTTATTTCACTTAGCATAATGTCTTCAAGGTTCATCCATGTTATAGCATATGTCAGAATTTCTTTCCTTTTTAAGGCCAAATAATATTTCATTGTATGTAAATACCACATTTTGTTTATTCATTCATCTATTGATAGGCACTTGGGTTGCTTCTACCTTTTAGTTATTGTAAATAATGTTGCTAATGAACACGGATAAACAAATATCTGTTTGAGTCCCTGCTTTCAATTCTTTTGGATAGATACCCAGAAGTGGAATTGCTGGATAATATGGTAATTCTATGTTTAGTTTTTTGAGGAACCATCATACCATTTTCCACAGTGGCTACACAATTTCACATTCCCTCCAGTAATGCACAGGGTTCAAGTTTCTCCACATCCTTGTCAACACTTGTTATTTTCAGGTTTTCTTTTAATAATATTTTGAAATTTTAAAACAGCTTTTAAAAATTCTCTATTTCTTATCTGATTGTACTATAAGAGTCCTGCTATCTCAAAATGACATGAAATTCTCAGTGTTTTCAGATTTCTTTACCCTTGAAAGCAGCAGGGACAGAGCACAGTGGAGTTTGCATCTTATAAAAACCTTGTGCATTTATGTTCAGATACAGAAGAGCTAAATTAAGGTATGGTCTCAAAGATCTCAAAATATAAGGTGAAATAAACGAGGTATATAATTAATACTACCTCAAAATATCATTATAGATGTGGGGGTTTGTCTAGTTGGGCCTGAGAGAGAAGTAATACATATGCGATTAGTAAAAGTACTATTTTTTAAAATAAATAGTGTAAAAGAAGGAAAATGCTGAGGCATTTTGGCATAGACTATGTAGATCAAGCAAAAGCGGATTTAACATGCTAAGTGTGCCTGAAGCCCAGCTAAGGATCCCTAGTGAACTCTGGAGGGAGACAGGAGGTTAAGGATACCACAAAAGGGTGTGGATGCAGAGAGAGGGCTGTAAAAAAAAATTCAGAGGGGGTTACATAGTTTAGGCTCAGAAAGAGAACACCCAGGAGGAGATTAGAAGTTGAGGCGCTGAAGCAAGTGGCCTGCTAGAAAAATGTCCCAGAAAGGCTCATTTATTGAGGTGGAGTGTGGATATCAGCAATAATCATTCCAAACATGTATGTTTTAAAATAATATGATACACAAAGGAGGAGAGTTAACTTCTGGAATGGTAGAGCAAGAACCTTCAAAAACCTGCTCCTGCAGAAAAGCAACAAGAACACTGGCACAAATTATCAGAATCAACTTTTTCAAAACTCTGGAAATTAACTGAAAGCTTGCAACCATCCAAAGAGCATTTATTCAAGAAAAACAACTGAATGTCAGTAAGACCAGTGAGCTTTATGGTGTTACAACCTGAGCTAATTTCATCCCTTTCTCCCCAGCTCTGTGGTAGCCTTCAAAACCAACAGGTTCTCAACTACGGTAGCTGTGAAAACCAGTAGGATAACAGCCACTGGAGGGGGCAAAATGAGTTTGGAGCTCCTCACAAATCCCATCCCCAGACAAGTGCCACTATTCGGCCTGCCTGGCAGCTCCCTGAAAGGCTCCATTCTCAGGGCTTGCCTTTATTTGATCTGACACAGAGCTCACACAGTTCTACTCCAAGCACATCCGTCAAAAAAAAAAAAAAAAGTAGTGGCAACAGTTTAACATCACAGCTATCAGAGATGGCATTACCTGTTGAGACTAACAAGAAGCTGACCAAAAAACTTAAAAGGAAAAAGTAGGGAATAGGATGTCCAGAGGGGTATTGAAAAGCTCCAACATGCTCCTGAGAGTTTAAAAGACCATGCACATGCATACGCCAGGCATGCTCAGAAGAGATCTGAGAAGGTCTTAATCTTTCACCTCTGGCTGACCTTGAGGCTCTGCACAAGCAAGAAGTGAAGGCACAGAGTGCCTCAGAAAAGAATGGGAGATTTATTGGTTCAAGGCATTTAAGGACGTCTCTGTCCAAACATGAGCTGACCATCAAGCTAACTGAGCAGACTTCAGTGGCTGCACATGTCAAAGAAAACAGATTTAGTCCAGGAAAGTCACTAAATAAACAAAGAGCAGAAACAAAAAATTCAGGACTGGGAGGAGGAAAGGGAGAGGAGATCTGATTTCCAGAGTTGCCACATTTCATTTTTTAAAATAACCTGTTTCAACAAAATATTAAGAGGCATGCAAAGAAAAAGGAAAGTATGGTCCATACACAGGAAAAAAGGTAATCAATAGAAACTGTCCCTGAGGAGGCTAGATGTTGGACTTCCTAAACAAAAACTTTAAGTTAGCTACTTTAAATATGTCCAAAGCACTGAAGGAAACCATTTCTAAACAATTAAAGGAAAGTATGAAAACAATGTCTCATCAAATAGAGAATATCAATGAGACAAAAATTATTGAGGAAAGGAACCAAATAGAAATTCTGCAGTTGAAATATATGATAACAAATGAAAACCATTAGAGGGGCTCAACAGCAGACATGAACTGGCAGGAGAAAGAATTAGTGAACTTGAAAAGAGGTAATAAGCTGAGTTTATCCAGTCTGAGGAACAAAAAGAAAAAATGGGAATAAGGGAAAAATGGACAGAGCCTCAGAAACCTCTATGGGACACCAACAAGAATACTAATATATGCATTAAGGGAGTCTCAGAAGGAGAAGAGAGACAGAAAGGGCACAAAAAATCCTTGAAGAAATAATGTCTGAAAAATTTCCAAATTTTATGGAAAAACATTAACTGCACATCCAAGAATTTCAAGGGTCTGAAGCAAGATAAACTCAAAGAGATCCACACCTAGAACTAATAAATGAGCTCAGTAAAGTTACAGGAAACAAGATCAATATACAAAAAAATCACTATACATTATATTTTTCTATACACTACCAATGAGCAATCCAAAAATGTCACCATTTACAATAACATCAAAAAGAATAAAATTCTTCATAATAAATTTAACCAAAGACATGCACAACTTGTGCACTGAAAATACAAAGCATAACTGAAAGAAAGTAAGGAAGACCTAAATAAATGAAAAGCATCCAGTGTTCATGGATCATAAGGCTTAATATCGTCAAGACGGCAATACTCCCCAGATTGATGTACAGATTCAATACAACCCCTATCAAAATCCCAGCTGCCTTTTTCATGGAAATTGGCAAACTGATCCTAAAATTCATATGGAAATGGAAGGGACCCTGAAGAGCCAAAACAATCTTGATGAAGAACAAAACTGTAAGACTCACACTTCCCAATTTCAAATTTACTACAAAGCTACAGTAATCAAGACAGTGTGGTGCTGGCATAAGGATAGACACACACATCAACGTAACGGAACTGAAAATTCAAAAATAAACCCTTACATTTATGGTCAATTGATTTTCAACAAAGATGCCAAGACCATTCAATGGGGAAAGAATAGTCTTTTTATCAAATAGTGCTGGGAAAACTGGATAGACATATGCAGAAGAATGAAGTTGGACTCCTGTCTCACCCCATATAAAAATTAACTCAAAATGGATCAGAGACCTTCATGTGACCACTGAAACAATAAAATTCTTAAAAGAAAACATTGAGGTGAGACTGTATAATTGGGAGTTCTGTGAATAACTTCCATGCAATGTTTACTAAAGGAAAAGTAATAAAAATATGCTAATAAAGCTTACCTATGTTATTAGATCTCAACAGTATCTGTAGGAATTGTTTAGAACTCAAACCAACAAAAATTTTTCCAATGATTATATTTTATCACTGTCATTTAGAATCGCCTGTACATGGTGATAATAAAAAGTTAACTGAAGTTTAGTCAATTTTATTATTATATTTAAATTCTCCATAGACAGTGCACAAATATCCAAGGTTTCTGTAAGGTGCAAACTCCACTGTGCCATGTCCTTGCTGCTTTCCAGGACCCTGCACCACTTGGTTGGGAGCATTGCTCCTACCACTCAGCCCTTCATATAGCATTGCTCTATCCAGAATTTTGAATTAAGACCTTCTATTCCTAGCTTTAATTTCTGGACAGAAAGGCACCTTATATGATCTAGGTAAACCATTCTGTTCTACAGTTTTTCTAACTATATTTAAGTTGATGAAGTTAATATAGTTGATCATCAAATCCTTTCTGCAAAAACAATCATTTCAGCTATATGCAAGTAAATTTGAGTAGTAAATTGCATCTGAAAAGCTACCAAACATAACAATGAAACTCCAAATTTAGAGTTAAAAGATAAATGCACTGTGACCAGCTTGTCACACCACTTCAGAGTATAATCTGAAAGTTCTTAGATACTAAATTATCTATAAAGTGAACTTTAAATTCAAACATTTCACAGGAACAAAATAACTTCAGTCCTCTGGAAGATATTATGTTAAGTGAAATAAGCCAGACAGAGAAAGACAAACACTGTATGACCTCTCTCATATGTGAAATATAAACTAACACACGGACAGAGAGAACAGTTTGGTGGTTACCAGGGGGAAGGGGGTTGGGGGGTGGGCACAACGGGTGAAGGGAGGCATTTATATGATGACTGACAAACAATAATGTACAAATGGAATCTCACAATGTTATAAACTATTATGACACCAATAAAAAATAAAAATAAAATAACTTCAGTCCAATTATTTAATTAGGGAAGAAGAGATCTCAAATTTTCCTGTTAACTTGTGGCAACATGCCAATAAGACAAGAATCTGCAAGAAAGGTAAAGTGCAGAAGTATAAAGTGATAGTAACATATTCCAACGAAATCTCATTCGCCAGTCTCTGTGTGCTCCAGTGACCCCTGACACTGAGGGACCACGAGAGATGTCTTATCAAGGAACAGGAACTGGTAAAACCAGCAGATCATTTCTAGGGAAGAATAAGATGTGGGCACACAAGGGCAAGATAATGTCCAATGTTACTGAGTATGAAATGTAACAAAAACACTGAACTCCCACAAAAGGGATTATTATTTTTTAAAACCCTGAGCTATTTTATAGACTTGTAAAATTATCTGTCAATTTTAAAAAATGGGGGAAATGTCCCACAATATAATGATGGCTATAATTGGGTTCATTATAAAATGGATGTATAACAAAAGACATTATAAATTTCAAAAGGCCCCAAAATAGAGGATAAAGAACACCCATAGGAAAAGGGGGGTGGGGAGGGATATGAAATTACTTACCTTTGATCAGCAGCTCATAGAACTTGGGCTCTACTGCTCCAACAGCCATGAACTCCCCATCTGCTGTCCTATAAGTTGTGTAGAAAGGTGCTCCACCATCTAACATGTTCTGTCCTCGAGGCTGTTCCCACAGTCCCATTTGTTGTGTTTGCCACACAAAAGAACTTAGATACGCTGTTCCTTCCACCTTTGAAGAAACAATACAATACGAATCCACATAATTAAACTATAAAAGCATGATTCACTTCTACTTAGGTTTTTTTTTAAATATTGTATAAAAATGTTTACCTTAGAGTATAAGAAGATTATATCTAATTATACAACTTCTTTGGTATTTTGAGAAAGTGAGTAGAGTGGGTTTACGGTACAGGGGATTTATGCACTATTCAGTTCAGAAAATACTGCTCAGAAAAAATTTAGAAGGAGCTACTTTTGTTCTTCCTTTCAAATAAGACTGGCAAAATGTTGATAATTTTTTAAGCTAAGTAAGGGTACATGGAAGTCCATTATATATTCTCTTTACTTACATATATGTTAAAAACCGTCAGGATAAAAAGTTAAAAATAGGGACCAGCCTGGTGACATAGTGATTAAGTTCACACGCTCTGCCTTGGCAGCCCAGTTCAGATCCCAGGCACGGACCTACACACCACTCATCAAGCCATGCTGTGGTGGCGTCCCACATAAAATAGAGGAAGATGGGCACAGATGTTGGCTCAGGGCTAATCTTTCTCAGAAAAAAGAGGAGGATTGGCAACAGATGTTAGTTAGCTCAGGGCTAATCTTCGTCACCAAAAAAAAAAAAATTTTTTAAATACAGCAAAAAGGTTTTTAAAAATCTATCGTCTGATCTCAATACCTACAAATATATACACACAGACATATGAAGCATATCACATTTTAAACACAAATCACATTACAGTTAAATTTAGCTTATTCTAGTTTGACTCCAAGCCCAAGAAAACTGTATTTGAGTATTTAATATATTTGAACTTTAATATCACTAGAAAGTTACAAAATAAATATAATGGTATGGGTGGCAGGTATATGGGTTTTAAGAGACCAGATAAACTAGTTTGGGAATGCCAACTTCTCACTGAGTCCAGGAGTGAGAACAGGAATGGATTCACATCCTCAGGTATGATTATCACAAGGCTGGATGCACTGGGCTATCTAAAGAAGACTACTTCCCTGTCCTTAGGGCTTTATGATCCCAATGATTCCAGCACCCCAGGGAGCAGACCGTCAAAGCATCCTTGTCTCTGAAACTCCAAATGTGAGCATGGAATTTTCCAGTTACTGGCTATGAAGCAAATGCAAAATATATCTTTGATACATCCCAAATTTCCCTTTTAACTTGAACTCTCATGTACATCTGAATTCATGGCTCTGACATTGTCATTACCAAATAGTGGAGTTTGTATAAGTGGCCTATGGTGTTGTTTTTTTTTGAAACTGGATTACACAGGTTTTAGAGAGTCCCCACATTTATACATGTACATACACATGTACATATACACACACACATATATACATATATAATCTCTTCTATATAATGGATGTACTGATGAGCCTGTTGAAAAAAGATACACTAACCGAGTTCAGGGTCTAGCTTGGTCCACTCAGGACACAAACGGGCTCTAATCAAATCCTACTTTACTTAGTGCCATAGGAGGATACAGGATAAGAGACAGAGCAGTTACAATCCTCATCTTATCACGAGGCTACCCACGGGCACGGCTTCTCTTGCCCCCTCACCCACATGTAGCATATGCTGCCACAGATGAGAGAGCCCCTGACACACGGAAACCGCGCCTCAATTTCCCAACCTTCTATATTGTTCTCATCATGTATGCCAATGACCTGCATGCCAACACACAGTCCCACCCCGCCCCCTAGTCAGGTACGCTGCCCCAGATCAGGAGTAAACACAGCAAAACAGACACCACGTTCCACAGTGATTTTTTTTTTCTTTTTGTGAGGAAGATCAGCCCTGAGCTAACAGCCATGCTAATCCTCCTCTTTTTGCTGAGGAAGACCGGCCCTGAGCTAACATCTACTGCCAATCCTCCTCCTTTTTTTTCCCTTTTTCTCCCCAAAGCCCCAGTAGATAGTTGTATGTCACAGTTGCACATCCTTCTAGTTGCTGTATGTGGGACACGACCTCAGCATGGCCGGAGAAGCAGTGCGTCGGTGCACGCCCAGGATCTGAACCCCGGGCCGCCAGTAGTAGAGCGCGTGCACTTAGCCGCTAAGCCATGGGGCCGGCCCCCACAGTGATCTTAACTCTACAGTTTCTAAGGAAACAGTACTATGAAGAGATGACTCCAGGTCATCACAGGCAGGCCTGGGTCAAGGATTCTGCTGCTAAAAACATGTGAAAACTACTGGCCTAAAAGAATAAGGTATCTGCTTCCCTAATCAGCTTCTACAAGCATTTGAATCACAAGGGTTCCCAGAGATGGGGAAGTAATGAATATAATGTGCTATGATCCACTTGACCTGGAGGAATTAGCAAACACCCACTATACCCTAATGCAAACACGAACCCTGAATAAAGTTTACAACATTTTCACATCCACTAAAACCTGAGGGCCGGCCCCGTGACTTAGCGGTTAAGTGCACGCGCTCCGCTACTGGTGGCCCTGGTTCGGATCCCAGGCGTGCACCGACGCACCGCTTCTCCGGCCATGCTGAGGCCGCGTCCCACATACAGCAACTAGAAGGATGTGCAACTATGACGTACAACTATCTACTGGGGGGCTTTGGGGGAAAAAAAGGAGGAGGATTAGGAATGGATGTTAGCTCAGAGCCGGTCTTCCTCAGCAAAAAGAGGAGGATTAGCACAGATGTTAGCTCAGGGCTGATCTTCCTCACAAAAAAAAAAAAAAAAACCTGAATATCTTTCTAATCGTCATGTAATTCTGATTAGACAGTCTGATGAAAGCAGAAATTACCTTTTATTTCAATTTGACTATAAATAAGCAATTATATGTCATTACTAAATTATTCAAATAATTACTAAATAAGTAGCATTTAGCCCTAACTTCTTAAAGCCCTCATGTTTGTTCTCAGTGTATTCCTTTTGGACCTCAGGGAGCGTGCCCACAGAGGGCAGCACAGGGCAGTGACTGAAAGCAGGGGCTTTCATGCCCACGAAAGCGTCCAACCGCCTGGGTGCAGAGCTTCTGACCCCTTCCAGCCACCTGCTTTAGAAGAAGGCAGTGGCCCTCTCCACGTCTGAAGGTCTTCAGATGCCTTCAGAAGCCTGAAAGCCTTCAGGGAGCACACGTCCTTAAGGGAGCTGTGTGGATCAAACGAAGGAAGACGTATGTAAGGCACCTGGCCTTGCTCTTGGCGCATAATAAGTCTAAAGTTGGCGCTGTTGCTGCTACAAGTGCATGCCGGGACTAGGCCAGGAGCTGGATACAACAAGATCAATCACACCCCACTCCTACTGAAATCACTTCAGAGATGGATGCAAAGGACAACGTGAACGTACCCTAATGACAGGATCACAGGGCACAGAAACAGTACAGGGCAGGGTGTGATGAGCCTGCGAGGAGAAGGAAGCTCAAGTCAAGGCCCTGAGATGCGGGAATCTGGTAGGAAACGGCTTTCACAAGGTCACCAATGACAAATCCAACTTCTACTGTTTGGTTTTACACTCTTGAGGTCTCCACCAACACTGGACCCTCTGACCATTCCTTTTTCTTAGCACTTTCTCTTTCCTTCATTTTCATGACAACGCTTCCTCTGGTTCTCCACTTCCCACTACTTAGCCCTTGCTTCTCCTCTTCTGCTCACTCGCTCCTCAAATGCCGGTGTTCTGTCTCTTCTCCTAGCAGACCACATAGTCTCACGTGGCTCCCAAATGACTCTGAAACCTGTTTCTAGTCCCTAACTTCAAGTATTCCATTGGATATCTGAAAGGCACTTCAAACTTGAAAGGACCAAAACTTAATTCCTTTTCTTCTAGTAATAATGACAAAAACAAGTTCTTACAGAGTGCCTCCTCTATGCCAGTCACTGTTTACACACTGAACAATGGAGGAACTCATTTAATTCTCTAACAATGCTATGAAGTAGACATCATTATTAGCTCCATTTGACAAAGAGGGAAACTGAGGCACAAGGAGCTTAAGGAACTTACCCAAGATCACAGAGCTATTAAGTGGCAGAGCTGGGGTAGAGGAAGCCAGCCACCAGTCTGTGCTCTTGACCATTGCACCACACTGCCTCTTCCCTCAGTAGTCTTCCTCCAGGGTGCCAGTGACACCGCCCACTAGGTCATCCAAGCCAGAAACAGGGAAGCCATCCTTGCTTCCACCCTCTCCTCTCAGTGCCAGTGCATCACCAAATCCCAGCAATTTTACATCTCAAATATCCCTCAATCTAGACCCATTCTACCATTAATGACTTTGGTACTTGCCCTTATCTCTCAGCAATAACCCAGCAACTCTCCCTCTGCCTCCAGTCTCGTCTCCACCCCACCTCCAAAGATGTGTCCAAATGCAAATGTGTAGTGATGCCCGACTGGACTCTTAGCAACTAGCTGTGAGATCTTAGGCAAATTTCTACGATTCACTTTCCTCCTCTTTAAAATAACAATGTATTCCACATGAAATTGTTGTTTTGAGGATTAGGAGAAATCACACAGGAAAAGTGCTTAGGATAACTCGAGGCACGTGCTCAGTGTCTGACAGTAAAAAAACTAAAGCATTATGACGTAGTCTCCCCTACACAACGAAGAAGGAAGAAGGTCTAGATGAGCCCATTTTACTTTAGCATCCTTAAGAATCTTCTCTAACTGCTCTGGGAGGCTTCCTGAGCCCACTTTTGAATGAGGATTGCTTGAAAACTATATTCTAAGCACAAGAGATAGCTTAAGGAAAATTGTTAAACACAACACAGGGGGGCTGGCCCAGTGGCATAGTGGTTAAGTTCTCACGCTTTGCTTCAGTGGCCCTCGGTTCGCAGGTTTGGATCCCGGGTACAGACCTACGTATCACTTGTCAAGCCATGCTGTGGCAGGCGTCTCACATATAAAGTAGAAGAAGATGGGCATGGATATTAGCCCAGGGCCAATATTACTCAGCAAAAAAAAAAAAAACACAACACCAGAATCAGGTGAGACAAAAAGTTTAGAAAACTGACTCCACAAACAGATGATCAAAATATGACATTCTGACACACATAAATTAGGATATGATGCTATTTTAAAGAAAAGGATATCCTTGGTAAGTTGGATTCAAACTTCAGATCTCATTTATCTCTTAAATTGTTCAGAAAATGATTTGAAGCAGCCATATATCATACAGTAGTCCCCCCAATACACGGTTTTGCTTTCCACGATTTCCCATAGTCAACGATAGTCTGAAAATATTAAATGGAAAAATCCAGAAATAATCCATAAGTTTTAAATTGTGAGTCGTTCTGAGTAGCGTGACAAAATCTTGCACCGTCCTGCTCTATCCTGCCTGGGACATGAGTCATCCCTTTGTCTAGTGTATCCACGCTGTATACGCTACCTGCCTGTTAGTCACTTAGCAGCATCTGGGTTATCAGATCAACTGTCGCAGTGTTGCACTGCTTGTGTTCAAATAACCCTTATTTTACTTCCAAAGCGCAAGAGTAATGATGCTGGCAATTCAGATAAGCCAAAGAGAAGCCATGAAGTGCTTCCTTTAAGCAAAAAAGTGAATGTTCTTGACTTGATGAGGAAAGAAAAAAAATCGTATGCTGAGGTTGCTAAGATCTATAGTAACTTTTATGATAACATATTGTTATAATTGTTCAATTTTACTATAAGTTATTGTTTAAATCTCTTTCTATGCCTAATTTATAAATTAAATTTTATCATAGGGATGTATGTATAGGAAAAAACATAGCATATATAAGGTTCGATACCATCTGCTGTTTCAGGCATCTACTGGTCTTGGAACGTATCCCCCGAGAATAACGGGGGACTACTGTACTTAGGAACAACTGACAGGCTTATCATTTCCCCCAATTAACACTTACCATGCTTGCATCAATGACCTGACCTTTGCCAGAGCGTGTGCGTTCAAAAAGGGCCATCATGATGCCCAGAGCACACATGAGACCACCACCACCAAAGTCGGCCAGGAGATTCAGCGGGGCATACGGACTGTCACTACTTCGGCCCATTTTTGACAGAACACCTACACCATTAAAAAAAATTCAGGGAACACTAACTGTAAATTGAATGTCTTTTTTAAATAAACAGATGAACATCTTGCAGGAATAACCAACCTCTCTAGTTGCTGACATAAGTGAACACTAGGTACATAATGCTTTTCCAAATCTAAACCCCTTCAGCATACTTATAAACAGGTTTTCCCTCCAACAAGGCTCCTTGTTTTGTTTTTTTCTTCTCTAACACTTTATTCCAACTAACATTTTCAGAATTTTATTGCTAAGTTTATACTTACGGAGTTTTGGGAAAAAATGATTGTTATCAATTTAGTTTATGGCTTAACAACAGTATAATGCACTTCTATTCTTATTATAAAGAGTACAAGAAAATAATCAAACACAAGAAAGAAAAGCAATTAAGTTTTAAAGCAGATGTGAAAACCAATTCTACACTTTTTTCCTCAACCTTTAAACATGTACTCACAGAAAATTTGAGACTTTCTTTACTAAATAACTCCCAGTCCTTAGAATTCTAGAATTAGGCCATTCTAAGACATGTTCTTACAGGCAAATACTTTAATGAAGTGATATTACAACCTGAAAACCATGGGCTTTTTCTAGTATTCACAGAAGTCTAAAATGGTGACTCAGGCAATGATTCTCGATGAAGGTGTGGGGAGAGGGGTGTCAGAATCAAACTATATCAGCATTTTCAAACTACAGAGCAACCATTGCTATTACCAAGTCTCTTACTTTCTAGCAGGGGCTTCCCTGAAAATTGACTCCACAAATGTAGTAAGTAAGTGTTACTAGTGAGAGCATATTATCCCTCAAATGTGTTAAGACAGGGGGAAGAGGGTTGAGAATGACGGTTCCAAGACAAACCAATGCTTTTTATTTATTTATTTTTTTTGGTGAGGAAGATTGGCCCTGAGCTAACATCTATCGCCAATCCTCCTCTTTTTCCTGAGGTAGAGTGACCCCGGGCTAACATCCGTGCCCACCTTCCTCTACTTTATATGTGGGACACCTGCCACGGCATGGCTTGACAAGTGGCGCGTAGGTCCACATCTGGGATCTGAACCTGCAAATCCCGGGCAGCCGAAGCGGAGTGGACGAACTTAACCACTACACCACTGGGCTGCCCCCAAACCAAGCCTTTTTAAACAACCCTGCTCTCCTTATTGATTTTCATAAATATTTAAATCTTCACCTTTAAAAATTCTTTTAAATTAGTGTAACTGTAGATCTTGACTGGGAATAAAATAAAAAGCGTAGAGAAACTATTTTTTCAACCTACCTGACAAAGCCAAATAGTTGATGTCATGGCCTGCTACCCTAGAGAATATTCCTGAGTGGCCAAATCCACTCAACCTGGCATAGATAAGCTTTGGATTCTCCCTCTGCAGAATCTCTGGGCCAAGCTGGAGTTTTTCCATGACACCTTAAGAGAAAAGTAACAATTTTTTTTTTTTAAAGAGCATGAATTGAGTACAAGAATAACCCCTTCTCCGTGGCAAACATAAAACAGCACGCTTGCAAGTAATACTAACAATGTTTGTTGCAGGTTTATGGCGTGTTTCTAGTTATTAACGACCCAAAGAGTGATGCTACCATTTCTGGAATGCGTGGCTTCTGCCCCAGAATGCTATTTCCTTCCAGCATGTCCCTGTTTCCCTTCAGTCATACCCAAGCCTCTTCAATGCCCACAGTGGGCAGTTCATCCCTTTAGTCAGTCCCTTTATAAAATCCTCTCCTTAGTAATTTATTAGAAACGGTTTGTTGTCTTCCAACACTGACCCTGGGTCTTCAATTGGTCAAAAATTCACTTTTGAAAGCTGCTATTCCTTTTAGGCCCTTTTCTTCTTCTATGCCCGCATCCGTGCCTGCCACCTTCTACCTCAGGCTGTACTTATGTACATACACATTCCATCTCCCTATCAGCTCAGGAGCTCCTCCGGCACAATTCATGCCTGATCTGTTTCCACAGGTCTCTAAAGTGCCTAGCATCAGCACCTCCTCAAAGAGGCTCAGTAAATATCCATGGAAAAGTTAGCTACAATAGCACCTAAGAGCTCTTAAGCTCTCAGCATGTACAATATTTATTGCACAAAATCCAGGTGACTGACAGCTAAAGTCTCCTGGGATTAAAAGTAATCAACATTACATGATAAATTCACTGTCTTTGTCTTCCGAAAGCTATGATAAATTACAAAAGAACTCCAGTCCTCTACCTAGATAAACACCAGCCACAACCCTTCACCTGGCAGCCACATCTGTATGCACAGCTCTATCTTCCTCCTAATTATAAGACCTTGAACAAACTACCTAACCACTTCGAACCTCCTTCATCTTCAAATGGGGCATTAAACTACAATATAATCCTAACTGTTAAATTATTATTATTCTAATCTCAGATCTGGCTGTGAGGGTAAATGAGTTAACACATTCAAATATGCCTGGTGCCCCACAGATACTCAATTCATTCACCAAACATTTACTGACTTCCTGCTGTGTACCAGGCAAAGCAGTGGATTTGTACTTGAGCTGTCTGAGAACGGTCCCAGAGGTGCTAGACCCAAACATCATCCTTCAAAAAGGCTGTTACAACAGTGTCAAGGAAGCTGCAGCAGGTATGGAGAGAAAGAATCCTGAGTTAGAGAAAGGAGGAAGAATGACTGGATTCCTGATCACTGAAAGCGGGTGGAGTGCAAGATTTGGAGTCACGGATGAAGTTCAAGTTTCTGATTCTGGCAACTGGGTGGATACTGGTTCCATTCCCTGCGATAAATAATTCACAAGGAGGAGATACCACCTTAGGAGGAAAGAGGATGGGCTCGGTTTGGGATTTGTGGAAGTTGCAGTGCCTGGAGAACAGCCAAACAGAAATGTGCAGGACCTGTGTATTCCAGCGGTCTGCGGCTCTAACACAGGGCCGGGGATCATCTGTCTGTAACACGTGAAAACAACGGGAATGGATAAGGTGGCTCCAGGAAGCAGAGTGTAGAATACACGAAATTGAGCTGAACGGGAACTTGGGAACACCAGCATTTAAGGCAAGGAGTGTTAGCCTGGGTCCGTGGATGGCTTGCAAAGGTACACCAAACCCCAAAACAGCGGCAAAATGACTATGTTCCTACATGCAGTTTTCGAGGGAGAGAATCTATGACTTTCGTTAGGTTCTCATAGGGCTCATAACGGTCAAATAACTGAGAAAGGCAAATATAAATGGGCGGTTAGAAAAAAGAGGAACTTGGAAGGAGTCGAGCGAGTTGTAATGGGAACAAGGGCATCAGGAGTACCTCGGATGCTAAGTAGGAAGACCGTCTCGAGGGGCGAATGATCAACAATATCAAATGCAACACAAAGGTCTAGAAAGAGAGGGACGGGAAGCGTTCCTGTGGCAAGAGAGCAAGGGGGTGGCGGACACAGCCTCAGTCGTAACAGGCCGGCCCCCTCCCTTCCGCGGGGACCTTCCTCCGTCCGGTGCCAGGGAAGAACCCGGGGCTCACCGTGGCGGAAGGACTCCAGCACCACGTCCGCCTGGGCGCTCAGACGCCGCAGCACCGCCGCTCCCCGCGGCCGCTTCAGGTCCACGGCCACCGAGCGCTTGCCCCGGGCCAAGTAGCTTGTGCCGGCGCCGGCGCCGGCGCCGGTCCGGTCCACACGCACCACTTGCGCCCCGAAGTCGGCCAGGACCATACCGCAGAACGGAGCCGGAGCTAAGCCAGCCAGCTCCACAACCTTGATACCCTGCAGCGGCAAGGCACGCAGACACGCCATCTGAAAGAGAAGACCCAGCTGCAGGTACCTCGCTCACCCAGGCGCCGTGCACTGCCCGAGCGCGCCCTCCCTCCCTTGTGCGCCTGCGCGGCCGCGGAGTCTGCGCACTGCTGCGCCTCCCCGCCTCGCCGCCGTGGGTCACGGGTCCCCAGTCGGCAGGGCTGGCGTAGTTTTGTTCCCGCTGCCAAGTCCTGAGTTGTACCCACGGCTTGCCCTAGGGAGCTCGGGCCTGTCACCATCCTCTGAGGATGCTTTTATTCTCACTTGTGCGATCCCAGCCGTTGTGCCGTTTGAGCCCCTCCACGTGCCCGTCCCTGGAGAAATAAAAAGTACATAAATATTTAAGACCAATGCTAAGGTATTTTCTTCAGTAGGCTGCAGATTGTCTCTGTCATCGCCCCTACTTCTTAGCTACTCTATGATTTCATCCACAAATGGCTTAAGAGCCCTTGTAGATGCGCTCAATTTTGAGTTAAAGACTTTGTGGATTACATGCCTTTAAAAAAAAAGTTCAAGCTACGCTAAGGAATGTGTAATACAGAAGAACATCAGAGCGGGCGGTTCTCATCAGTGCCAAAAGAGAAGCTTTAAAAATATTTTTGATTTGTTACCTGCCATTTCTACGGATTATTAGGGTTTCTAGTTTTTAATTTTAATGCACCATCTTTTTTTTAAAAAGTGCAATAAAATAATCACAAATAGCCCCACTACTTGAGCCAAACAGGAGGTGTTAGGGGCGCTCTGCCAGTAGGAGCTGGGGAGAGACTTTTATAGAGAAAAGGTAGGAAGCAAAGCAAGGAAATTGGTTATAGTTTAAAGCCTAGTTGGCTGTTTGTGATTGGCTGTTCGTAGGATCTGGTCTGTAACCTTGAGGCGTTCACAGGGTTAGATTTTGGGTTGTTGAGGTAGGCGGCCAGGGCATTCGAGTCACAGCAGTCTACTGGCCTCCTTGTCTGATCAATTTAACGGCCACCTTGTCCCTCTCTATCCCATGTTCCTACCTTTGTTCAGACATAAGGTTCCTTACCTTTCCTCTTGTTTTATTTTTATTTTGAGAAACTTAGAAAGAGAAAATTACAAAGAATGATATAGCAGACATCCAGAGAGACACATTAATATGTTTTCATATGTGCTTCCAGTCTATTTTTCTGGAAAATAAACAGTACAGATATAGCTTGAGCTAACACCCAGGATCAGATTCACATGAAATCAGAGATCTTACCCAGAGTCAGGCCTTACTAATAAATTCAGAGATACAGGTCATGGAAAGGCTCAGACAAAGCAGGGGTCTGGGAAATCTCACATGACTTTGCAGGTCCTTCCTTCCTGCGTTGGACACATACCCTCTGTTACAGGCTGAACTGTGTCCCTTTAAAATTCATATATTGACGTCCGAACCCTCAGTCCCCCAGAACATGACTGTGTTTAGAGATAGGGCCTGTAAAGAGGTAATTAAGGTACAGTGAGGTCATATGGGTGAGTCCTAATCCCATAAGACTGGTGTCCTGGTAAGAAAAGAAGATTAGGACAAGGAAAACACAGACCGAAGGACCACCATGTGAGGACACAGTAGAAGGTGGCCATCTGTAAGCCAAGGAGAGAGGCCTCAGAAGAAACCAAACCTGCTGACACCTTGATCTTGGACTTTTAGACTTCAGAACCGTGAGAAAATAAATTTCTGTTGTTTAAACCACCCAGTCTGTGGTATTTTGTTATGGCAGCCCTAGCAAACTAATACACCCACAATTATAGATGAAGTCTCTAATGAGGTTCTCAAGTCACCTAAAAGACTTCACTTTATATCCCAAGAGTTACTTAGCTATGGAACCGTGCTTCCTAGATTCTAGGTTTATTTAGCATAAGTAATTCCATGGCCAGGGATATCCCAAGTGCATTCAATAGATAAATTCTCTTCCTCCTAGCAAATACCATTCATCTATGTACACAAGGTCCAATTGATAAGGAGTCTTTTTCTTTAGCCCCCGAGGACATCTCTGTACTAAAGGGAGTAAATAGATCATAGGCTAGCTGATTTTAACTCCTTCCATAGCTAAAGTCTCCTTTAATTCCCACTCACAGTTACATTTCTTTGCTCCCTCACACCCCACCGTTCTAGACACAAGCACTCCCATGATTTTGATATTGTTTGACTAAACAAAATATAGTATTATTTGCGGTTTTAATGTACATAAATGATGTTACATGGCACTCACTTTCCTGAAGTTGATTTTGCACTCCATCTTACATTAACTGGTCTCCCCATTTCTACTTCTTCCTCTTAGATCAGTCAGAATTCTTGGCTTAAATACAAAAGAATTCATTGGAAGGATATCAAATAGCTCACATAATTGCCTGAGAAAGCTGAATGCAGGGCAATGGGCAGGACTTGGGTTGCTGGAGTCACCTTAAAGGTCACAGCATGTGAGTCTGTTTAGGATACAGGTCTGCACAGTCTCCACTCACCTTTTCCCTGCTGAGAGGGATTTGCACCAGCCTGAGTCTGAGTCAAAAGGATAGAAGTACTAACCTGAAGGGCCTCCCGCTGACAATTAAGATGGGACCATTAAATTAGAATAATGACTGTTGAAACACATCGAATATATGAAAAATCATGAGTTAATAATAATGCTTTTTAAAAGACCTCATTAATCACCTTTGGAGGTTGCTAGGGCACCAACTCATTATTCTAGAAATTGATAAATAAAAGTAAAAAAAAAAAATCAAGCATTTATCTTGTCTTACATATGAACGGTATTTCAGGACAACCAAATAACTAGTGAAAACATGTCTTTCTTTAAAAATGTCACTATTTTGCAACTGCCAATGAAATAGTGGATTTAAGCTATAATCATCAATAGCTGCTAAAAACATTAGGCAAAAAAGCTAATGGGGGAATTTTATATTATGTGGATCTGGCTGAGATACCCTGAACCCACAGATCAATTTTAATAACACAAAAAGAGATAATAAGACATTATGGTCTTCCTGGTATGATGCAATAGACAATACTGCCCATGAAGTTTTCCTGCAAAAAAGATTAAGACGAAATCTAACCAAGCGCGTTATCTGTTTATGGTAAATGCAGGAGACTGAGGAAGATGCTGTGTAACACCAAAGAATATAATCAGCAAAATCCACAATGTTGGAAAGCAAATAATAAATAAATAAATAAGAAATTGTTGCAGATTTTCAGACTTAGATATATCAATCAAATGTGATATATAAATCTTGTTTTGAATCATGATTTAAACAAATATACTGTAGAAAGATATTTACGAGACAATTGAGGATATTTTAAAACAGTGACTGGATATTAGATATCAAGGAATTATTTTCTTTTTGTGAAAATGTTACTGTGGTTATAATTTTTTAAAAAACTCATTTCTCTCAGATATATACTGAAGTGTTTACATACCTTGAAAGCTAATCAAGGAATTTCTAATATCTGAGCAACTGGATTTTAGAATTGCCATGAACCGGGGTCAACTCTGTCCCTCCTGTTTCCCTCTTTTTGGATAAGAATGTCTATACTTGTTATCCCTTCTCTGTCCCACCATTGTGTTGCGTGTTGGTGGGAAGGCAGTACCTTATCTCTTTCATTTGGCGGATCAACAGATCAAGAGGAACTGTAGCCAAAATGAACTAAAGAGCTACAGTCGTCCCACAGTATCCAAGGAGGATTGTTTTCAGGACCCCTCGCCCATACCAAAATCCATAGATGCTCAAGTCCCTTGTATAAGATGGCATAGTATTTGCATAGAGCCTACACACTTCCTCCCGTATACTTTAAATCATCTCTAGATTACTTATAATAACTATATAACGTAAATTCTATGTAAATAGTTGTTATACTGTATTGTTTAGGGACTAATGGCAAGAAAAAAAGTCTGTACATGTTCAGTACAGACGCAACCATCATAGGCTTTTCGATCTGCAGTTGGTTGAACCTGTGACTGGGGAACCCGCAGATAGAAAGGGCAACAGTATATTCAAGGAGCCTGATCCACATCTGGATCGAACGTCAAAGACGAGATCCTAGACTTTGAGCTAACGCTTAATGGGATGAGAACTCTGGGGACCTTGCATGGGAGTGAATACATTTTGTATGTGGAAGGGTGAGTAGGAAAAATTCACTTCTCCTGCGTTTCTTCTTTACTCTCACACCACTACCACACTCACAGCGCTTCTGGCACCAGATGTGTGGGTTCTTTTTTTCCCCATACCAAAAAATTTTCTGTGACACCAGCTGGGTGTCCTACAATTCAATTCAACTTGAACACTAACTGGAGTTAGCCCAGACCACACAGGTTAAGGGCTCAGTCCCAGGAGACTGCCCCCACCGCCACTTCAGATGCCAATAGCAAGTAATAGGTTTCCAGGTTACCCACAAACCTGGAAACCTGTCTCACTTGGCTACAAATCAGAGATTCCTGTTACCGCCCACCCCCCACCACCTTGGATTCAATTATTTGCTAGAATAGCTCATAGAACTCAGGGAAACACTTATATTTACCAGTTTATTATATATTAAAGGATATGAGAAAGGACACAGATGAACAGCCAGACAAAGAAATACATAGAGTGAGGTCTGGGTGGGGCCCAAGCACAGAAGCTTGTGTCCTCATGGAGTTGGGGTATGCCACCCTCCCGGCATGTAGATGTGTTCACCAATCCAGAAGCTCTCTGAACCCTGTACTTTGGGGATTTTTATGAAGGCTTCATCACCTAGGCATGATCGATCATTAACTCCATTTCCAGCTCCTCTCTCATCTCTGGAGAATGAGGGATTGGGATGAGACTGAAAATTCCAAGCGTCTGATCATGGCTTGCTTGGTCTTTCTGGTGACCACCCCCCATCAAGGAACTTACCAAGAGTCACCTCATTAAAATGAAAAACACTGCTATCACTCTGAAAACTCTAAGGGATTTAGATGCTCTGTGTCAGGAACAGAGGTCAAAAACCAAATACTAGAACAAAAGATGCTCCTAGTCTCTTATAACTTAGGAAATTAC